TGTTTTTAAATACTAATTTATTATAAAAAGGTATATTAGTTCATTTTTTTTTTTTTGATGCTCACAAATTAAAAAAAAAAAAATATTAAAACCAACTTAAATTTTGATATATTTTAGTCAAACTATATTAAAAATAAATCTGTTACAAAAGAAAAACATCGGTTTTTAATAATACTTAATAAAAGACTTAATAATTACATTCTGTAAAAGACTCATTTATTGAAGTTTGTACGTATAAAATGTATAAAAAAAAATATTTATTGAAATTTACGGATATTTTGTAATCATAATGTACTTTCACAAATTTATAAGATAGATTATTACTCTGTATTTGGTAGATTAACTTTGATGAAAATTAAACTTATGAGTTAATATCAATAAAATCAGATAATAATAAAATCCTTATTCTTCGTTTATTTGAACCAGTTATTTAGATTATTATGATACTCTTGNAACTTATGAGTTAATATCAATAAAATCAGATAATAATAAAATTTACACGATAAAGAAAGTTGCTGTCGAGTTGAGGAACAAACTCGCCGTCAAAGTACCAGGAGTGTATAAGTTGTAAACGTTCTCTTCCGAATCCGCCAGATTGCCCTTCGTGTATTTTGCATGGACGTCTCACAGAGTCAGAAAAAAATGTCATGTCAGACAATTTCATGCGATACTTGACGTTTGCATAACAGGGATTCATGAGATTTGCCTCAAAATCTGCTAATGTTGAGACTAAAATGCGCGTAGGACGTGTAAATTTCCACATAAGCCCGTTGTGTACCAGGGGCCCATGCGTCTAAACATTCATTCGTTGCATGCGAGCATACAATGAATGAGAAGCAACACAACGCGCTACAATTATTTAGTGTCACAGAATTCTGTATACAATTAAATGAGATTTATCTGATCAAACGATTTGTACTACTTTAACTTTAATTTAAAGGGTATTCTTGAGGTCGCATATAAAATTAACGTTTGTAGTAATGATGGGAAATATCAAATAGTAACTATCGAACTATTCGATAGTTGTTCACTATTCAATAGTCATTCAAAAACTATTCGAATAGTAAAAATATTCAATAGTTGCACAATATATTCGATAGTTTTTTTAATATTTGATAGTTTATGCTAAAAATAAACTACTTGGTTGTATACAAATCAATTCGAATAGTTATTCGATAATTTAAAATATTCGAAAATGCCCATCACTAGTTTATAGCTGAGTGATCATTAAATTCAAAGAGTAGATATTTGTCTGACGAAACTCATATGATCGATATAATTTCTGACAATTAAATTGGAGAACTTTAATAATATAAATAGAAAAAAAATTTGAAATTTGGTTAAATTTTTACTGAATTATGAAATTTTCAAAAAATATAGTTACTTTATAATATAGTTTCTGTATACTTACAAATATAAAAAAGTGCATTTACTAAAAATTATTTTTTATTAAATGAAATATTTTTATTATCATGATTAAACCTAAAAGCAATTTTTATTTTTTATTTTTTTAATATATTGGATTATTATCTAATAACGCGAAATGTTATTGTGATGAGTGAGGTAATTTCTCCTTTTTGTTACAATACAAAAGGATATAGCATTCTTCTCATTGACAGTGAAACTACTACTTACTAATAAATCATAATTTTTTCGAGCTTACATGACAGCTATGAATGAGTAAAAAATAATATTATTCGTTTAATGAGTACTATTAACAGCATATAATGAGAGATGGAAATAAAATTACTTTTAAAAATGTATAAATATATATTTATTTAAACAACCATTATTGGGTTATACTTGAAATACAATAAAAAATATAATGTAATTTCTAATTATTTAACTAAAAATGTTATGACAAATAATCAATTAAATTTATTACAGACCAAAATTTTTACTTTCAATATTCTAGAGTGAATATTCTCTATAATAAACGTTGAATATTACTTTCAGAAGTGCCAATCTAAACGTACTATTAATTTCGTTACTTTATTATTTATAAATGTACACATAATAAATATTATATTATAATATATTAAATATACACTATATTATCTAGTATGGAATCTTGGGCAAATAATATAATTTTCAAGTCTTTTAAATAACATAAAATAAATCATCATGTAACTTCTATATTTATCTGAAAATTAAAGATAAATAATTAGTAATTTCATAAGGTATATACTATTGAATTATTTTGTCTTTAAAATATCATTATTAACAAGAAAAAGTATAAAATGAGTATGAAAGAAAAATGAAATAGTCTTCTTATATGCAATTAGAAGGCATGTGCATTTTTTATTTTTATTTTATTAATCACGTCTTCACTCTAAAATTCAATACAGCGCTATTATATAACTCGATTGGGGATCTCATGTCTTTTTTTATATATAATAATACTTGAATTATTCCTGTAACAGTACATACTGGTAAATAATAACGATGTACTCATCTGCCCACGCCTTACATACTTAAATCTAAATTATTAAATAAAAATTAATTAATTATATACATACCATATTCTATCACAATCGTTTTTTGAACGCATCAATCACAGATCTCAGTAACTCAAACTACATTGTTAACTACATTGAATATCCATTGAGCTAACGGTTATACAAACTGCAAGATCTTCAGAATTCGCTATCATTAGTGGCCATCTACGGTCAGTTTGAATTTTCGGAATAGCCTAAGATTGACTGCTGCACGATCATTACACAATTTATTACTGAGTATTACTTCCTCGTTAAAACGATTTCTGCCTTGTGCCCTTTTCTTTTACCGTAAAAGTTTAACGATACCATTTAATGTACCTTAAGATTACACCTTTTTATTGCCAATACAAGAGATAACTTATTATACATTATTTTTTATACATTTATTTACCATTTCTATATCAAATAAAATGGAATGGATTGAACATTAATGTAATGCACTTCCAATAAATTAGAAGCTCTGAAAATCAGTAGGTCTTTACAGTTTAAGATTTTCAGTCGATAATGATATGTATCCAACTAGTTTATTACATAAATGCATTTGTAACTATTAATATACTAGTGTATTCATTTAATATACTGCGAAATATTATCTCTTAAACAAAATATCAATAAACTGCTAGAAAATCAAATGCACGATGGTTTATTTAAAATTAGCCACTTGGTACCTCTCAAAATAATTATAATATTAAAATGTTTTTTGACTTTTATTATTTACATATATTTCTAAATGTTCAATTATGAAGTAATATTTATGTTTATCCCTTATACTTTTTAAGGATGACAACTTAATTTTTTCAAATAGCAGTATTAGTAAGTAACTAGCTTATTATTTAAATAATGATTTAATTAAGAATATGAGTGGTCGTTAATAAACTTTAGACTTGTATTTCAGAAGTTATTAACATTTTTTACCTAGGCGGGAGAAGGAAATGTCAAGAATTATCTAATGATAAAAATATTATATGTTATTATCATATCCAGTTAATATTTTTAATTTGTTGATAACTTCTAAAATATTGGTCTAAAATTTGTTATCCATTAATTATATTCCTATTTAGATCATTTTCTATTAAATTTATTTATTAATTATGTATGTTTCTATTTGAAAACATAATTTCGTCACCCTTAAAAAGTATAAGGAACCTTAAAAATTAATAAAAATGAAGAAAAATATGTAACTAATAAAAGTCGAAAAAACATTTTGATATTATAATTATTTTGAAAGATATTTAAAGAAAATTAGTTTTTTAATGAGACTAATTTTAGATTAATCACTTTGTATAAAGAATACTTACGAATTATAATTGAATTATTTACTGTTTTATTCCTTAAAACAATATACAGAGTGTTTAAAGGAAAAGCAAGGAAATAAGTTAATTGTTACAAACAATGAGAATAGAAACCCATTTCCTTTTTTACTTATATATGTTACTCTATTTATTGTACAAATAAGACGTTATATTTAACGTAAATTTTATGATAACACCATAATTATTATTTATATTAGTTATTAATTTTAATATTTTTTGATTATAAGAATTTTATAATTTATTATTGAATAATAAATGATACGTTAATGACTTAAAAAAAATTAAAAATAAGTACGAAATCGTGTAGTAGCATATGATTTTTAGACTAAGTTAATCGTTTTGAAATAATAAAACAATTACTTAATTGCTTGTGTGATTAAAATTGAGTAATTAATAAGTTACTTTCTAAATATATGAATAAAATTAGAGACATTATCTTAATATGTTAAGGTGTGAAACCTTAACATATTAAATTAAAACCATGTAAGGCTGTGAAAGCCTTACATGGTTTTAATTTAAAATACATGGTTTTAACGTTTATGATACATTATGTATAAACAGTAGTATTTTGTAAAAACTAGTGATAAAAATCTCTTTACCCCAGACAAATTATTTTAGTACTACGAAATTTATTTTAAGTTCCAATTATTCAAAATAATAATTGAGTACATCAAAAATATAGTCAAGGTATCTGATGAGAAATATGTAACATGTAATGTTAATATCCTTAGATGGTTTTACAGAGAAAATCTATAATCAGTGAAATATTATTTATTTTAGGAGGGTATGGATCGAAGTCTTTGTGTTCTGTTTATAATGATTATAGTTCGATAATAAAAACCGAGCAAATTAAAAAAAGCATTTAAGTATAGTTTTTCGATTTGTAGATTCTATCAATTCACTAGCACTGTGCATTATGATGACACATTGATAAAAATAATTGTGTAGTTAACAATATAAATAACAATTAACTTTTTATTATTTAAATGACTCCCGAAACTTATCTTCTTAGACCTAGTATGCCGTCTAAAGCTATTGCGAGGTAAAATGACTCAATTTGATTGATAAAAAGAATCATGAGAAAAAGGTCAGTTAAGAGATCGTTACCGCAAATTCCCGAGGCGATTTCTGGTAGGCTCTTCAGAGGGGATTTAACATGCACTTACTATATATAAATACACCTATAGACATCAGATGCTTATTGAAAATCGTGGATACCGTTAGTCGTGTTGGATAGCGAAAGTTATCTATTATAAGCAATTTATACACTGATCAAATATTTGTAGTACACTTCAACACTTGGACAACGAAGAAACCACTACATAATGCAACTGGTATTTAATTAAATTTATTAATTTTTATACATTTTATAAGGTATTAACTTCGATTTTAGAATCAAGTAATTGTCTTAAATTATTATTTTTATAGAATTTCATATATTTCATAATAATTTCTGTATTGGAAATGTTCAATTTTGTATCAATAGAATACTATGTATGTGATTAAATTATTTTTATACGAATTTTTTTAAAGTAAGTTAATAAGGGGTACAAATGAAAATTAGCATATTTTTTATTCTTCCATGGTCTTTATTTTTATATTAACATTTAGTAACTAGACAAATTTAAAATCTCCTTGTTACCTCCTAGTGTAACTACATTTTAATAGCAAAAGATATATTACTCTATTTGTATGAAATTTAGATTTCTATATTTAATCTTCAAACTTTATTTTAAAATGCAAAAATACTTATAATATCATTTTTCCCAGAAAATTTGGTTTGGAGTCTGCATGTTGACTTGTTTGGTCAGCTGTCAACAGTATCAACAAAATGGTCCAGCAACAACTCCTATTCCTATCGTAAGATATGAAAATAATGGAGTAAATTTCGATGGATCATATAGATGGTTGTAAGTGTTATTACTGTTTAAATCTTTTGATTAATTTTCATAGAAAAGGAAAAAACTAAGGTTAGTTCTATGCATTTTTATAGATTACATTTTAATATTAAATTTCTATTGTTTACTAAAGTAAAATTTCGGTTTTCAAAAAATACCAAACAAAGTATTTTTTATTATAATATTTATTTTATTAAACTTGTGGAATAAGTTATTGAATATAACTTGTTAATAACTTAGTGAAACCTTGCTATTAAATCAGAATAAAAAAATGCATATTAGTTTTGAGCTAACTTTGTTTTCTATGTTGAACTAAATGATAATATATATTAACAAATATTATTTAAGTATACTCGCAGTTTTTAGCAATGACTCGAAGGTTAGAAATAATTAAAATCGGATTATTTCGGTGAAAAAATCAAATGTAATATCTTCCTTGATTTGATAAGGTCAACAAACATTGTGCTATAAGTGAAACATCTAACCGTCACTAGGACTAAACATTGTACAATCCCACTAAATAATTATTGAACATCCTACATCATTAGTCAACAAGAATACAATTAATATTAAGTTTTGTCATACGAGTGTACAACATGCGCCTACATATCGATGCATTTCGTTAACAACAAATTTAATATTAGGCAAATAAAATCCTAAAACTGGTTTCGCGCCTTTTAAAATCAAACGTACATAATTTTATTCCTTGACCCAATCGTTTTACGATAATGACTCCTTGGCCTCTGATCTAACCGGCGTTACCGTGTAAGATGACCACAATGACGATCATGTTAAAAAAAAACAATAGCGAACGACACGCGTTCATTAATAACCTTTATAATTATAACTATCGGATCTTGTTAAATGATGTATAATTTATTACCACATAGTAGCCATGCATCATTTTTCGGGTCACGTCTATGGCTACACCGAAAAAACATCATCAACAATGGCCTTGTTGCCGTTGTGTAAAATGCCAGATCATCAGCCTATGATATAACTTTTAAGATACATAAAATCGCAACAGAAGTCAACGGTCAACGGGCTTATCTGGGTCATCCGACTCGAACGCCTCTTACCATCTTCTAACCGTCGGTAGTTGTATTCTTGTTCGATTATTATCACGTTTGATTTATAATACTAACAAATTGTCGTGGTTTATGGGAACACACTTGGTTGTCTATAAAAAACGTGTTCATTTCGTCCGTCCTTGAAATTTTCACGATTGATATCGATCACAGAGCACGTCTTTTCGAATGCCATGACTTCGTGTTAACTATTATGTTATTATTATCATAACACGAAGAAATCAATGCCGCGCTTAATGGTATATACTTTCTTTTAACCACAATTATTCAAGCCTATTATAGACGGCGTTTCGTATAGGCAATATTAGACCACGCGAGTATTCCAATATCAATTATTCAAATTAATAAATGTCCAATTAAAATTAATCGATAGGTATATATTAGTTCTTACTCGTTTCTTTATAAAAAATAAAAACCGATACATCAGGCGTTTTTTATTTCAATTATATTTTATTTATAAATGGATGAAAAAAAAATTATAATATAGGATTAGTAAAAATAAAAAAACAACTGTATTAAACTTGAAATTTTTAAATCACAGTGATAAAAATCAAACTATAAATTAGAAGTGTTATTCATTTATTGTTGTTTTACCACACAAAAATAATCATACAATAAGATAATACTACATTATTGATATTTCAAAATATTACAACATTCATTAACTTTTAGTTTATTAGCTTGTTGATGAATTTATTTAGTAATTTTTATGACCAGTCCCATTTGTGTGAGAAAGATAAGGAAATTTTATATTTACGTCTTTTTAACATTATTTTTTCTACTAATCATCTGTCACAAAATATGCAATATTTCGTAATAATGTTATTTATTAATACTAACTACTTGAGTTAATTAATTTTAATACTTATTGAACGATAATAAAACATGTCATAATCTGCGACAACCTAACACATGTCAAAAATATCAATGACTTTTCACACATAAAGAAATAATAAAAAAAAACCTTGAAAGTTATATATTTTTATCAACTTAAAGTTTAATTGATAGATATTAAATTTATTATAAAATAAAATGTTATTTAGCTAATAAAAAATAATGTACTGAATGTATTATTTTTATGTAATGAAATTAATATTACAATAGGATTTTATAAATTGAAAATATACGTTTTATTTGCATAAGCCTTATTTTCTCGGTGATAGTAATGTTAAATCGAAAACAAAATATCTATTACGTGGAGAAATAATGATTTTATAGTTTATGTAAGCTGCGGCGGTTTCCACAGACTTATATTAATCTAATTATTTACATGAGATTTTCTAATTGACGAAATGCAACTTTGAAAGAAAATAAATAAATAAAATTATATAATAATAATTATTATATTCGAAAAACATCTAACCGTAATAGCAAAATACATCTATAGAAAATAATTTAGATCTCAGTATTGTGTAGCGGGACGCAACGATTTAGTTTTTTGCTCCATCATGGACTATAATAATCTTACTTAACTCTGCCATGTTACACAATTACACTCAGTGAAAGATGTCTATGATAAACAACAATAGTAATACTAATAATGATAATAAAATAATGTATGTATAATGATAATATACATAATAATAGTAGTAATCTGCGAGCTGTCGATAGTAGTGTAATATGAGGACGAGAAAGTCTCTAGGGCTTGACCCTAAGTTGTTTGACCCACTCGCAGCCAATTGAATATTCGTTTTATATTTCCTTCAGGCATCACAAATATGCCGATTTGCAAATGGTCTGGACCGTGTAGCAGACACGACTGGGAAGGTGATAGCTTATCACGAATAATTCCTATATTAAGGAATGAAGATAACCGGGTCATAGGCTATTAGTCATTAGGCAACTAAGGTAGCGAATCTTATTAAGCTCTCTTAAATATTTGACCATGAAACTATCATTTTACAAACGTGATAAGCCAAAAGTTTTAAACAATTTTTAGACTATATTATCGACATATTCTTCAAAAACAATTAAAATCATACAAAAATGGCAAGTTAATTTGCAATCGCAAAATTTATATTAAAAATTAATACTTAAAAAAATATATGTCTAAATACTAAATTTTTTTTTTGTTTCCTTAATTTTAACTTCTTTTAATAAAAAAAAAAATTATATTAGTAAAATTATATCGTCAACCACTAGTTTAACAAAAAAAATCGTCCATTTCGAATAATATTTATATGATATTCTGAATGAACATTATCGAACAAAAAAGTAAATTTAAATTCTCTGAATAGTAATAACAAAATTATTATTTATCGATACCTATAATTTTTTTATGTTGTCATTGATCTAAAAATAACAGTATACCAAGAAAATCTATGACATATCATATTATCGACCTTATAATCCTTTCGAATTCATCTTACCATTGTTATTGTAACAATAGTGCAATTAAATACTAGTAATGGTAATAATTATCTAGACCTTATCATGTACCTCCGGAAATGATAACCTTGTTTTTGAATTTATTAAGAGCAAAATTAAATCATTGTTTTTGGTTCAAGTGCAACATAATATTAAATAAATAAATTTTACGTAATGAAAATAAAATTTAGTTAAAATGGCTTTTTAAAATTGTAATTAAATAACGCAACATATTTATAATAATAAAATTTAGATATGTGTGAAAAAAAAATTTAAATCATAATAACTTTAAAAGTTTAAACTAATAAAATTAGAAACATTGGATTTAAAGGTACGAAACCGGTAATGGTATTCAAGCCGAAGAAAGTGGAAATGTTCAACCAGCACAAGATCCTAGCCAATCTGCTTTAAACGTTCAAGGAGGTTACTCATATACTGCCCCAGATGGTACACCAATTAGTGTGAAGTACGTTGCTGGTCCACAAGGATTCGTACCTGTCGGCGACCACTTGCCAACTCCCCCACCTTTACCACCCGCAATCGCCAAATTGCTCGAGTTTCTCGCCACACAGCCATCTACACCAGAACCAGCTTACAATTAGAGGAATACAATTCATCTACTTTAAGGTTTTATTTATACCCTTGTCTCCTTTACAGTTATAATTCAAACTTTCATATGTTTTATTAAACCTTATACTTGTAAATTTATACTACCATCGTTAATAAATATGTATTTATTTTTATACTGAGCGTTCTTAAATAATTATTACAAAAACTATTTTTATCCTAATGTTATCCTCGACAACACCAGATAAAGCTAAATCCTTATAGCGATATATGATGCTCAAACTATTGATACTTCACCCTTAAATTTCTTTGGTATTTTATTATTTATTTCATAAATATATTAATGTGCACTAAATATCCCCTATCGCTAGAATCCTATACCTAGCTATAAAAATAAGTTTGTTTTTCAATAAATAAAAATCTATCATACAATTTAATTGTTTATGTATCAATTTAAATTGTATTAATTCGTTGATTATGTAGATCTTAAGATTTTGTATGTCATACGAAATAAATAAAATGATAAAATTTTCCATACGAGCATACTTATCATATTAAAAATTTAATAATAAATAAAAAGATAATGAAAACGTAATCTAAACTAGTAAACTTTAATTCATGCAAACCCTCTTCTGAAAATACTGGTTTTGGAAGGTTAATCATTTTATAATAAATTGATAAAATAATTAGAGTAAAATCAAATAATTAGTTCCATAAACAGAAACCTAATACAAAAAACTGAAAATAACTATATAATCAGTATATTTTAAAATTATTCTATCAAAAAATGTATTCGCTTTTTAGACATGTACGAAAACTATTCAAATAAAAATAAAAACCCAGCACAGTGGGGTCGCGGCACAGTGAGGACGTGGCATAGTTGGGTCAAGTATAATAATATCTGACAGTGATTAAAATCACTATCATAAAAAACGCTTCGATAAAAATCTGTAGATAGTGTTTAATTTTAAAAATATGAAGGATTATTCCAAAATCAACATGATCTCTTATTTCCTTGTGTATATCATGATTACAAGTTTTATGATTTATAAGTTTAATATATGAATAAATATTAAGTATAGCAATTAAATATAGTATGAAATTTATATTTAATAATTTAATACTGTAATTTTTTACAAAAATCATATTTATTTTATTAACTTTGATGTCCATTTTCACCATGAAAATAAAATAAAGTCCGAATTTTTTTTTTTTATAATAAAGTACATTACATAAGCTTTAATTTAAGATATATAGAAAAGGATTTCCGGAACACTTTCAAAAATTAAGCTGAAAAAGTTCTCTTTTCTATATTAATTTTAAGTTTTGAACCATGTATAAAGAGAAATGGTCCGAAAAAATTGTACGTTGAATGATAGAGGTATATAATAGTAATTCTCATTAAAAAAATTGTATTGATCCATACGTTTAAAAAAGTTAACGAAATATAGAGTTAAAAATGTAAAATATAAAATCGAGAATTTTAACACAAAAATAGCATATGGTAGCCATTTTCACCGTGAAGACAAAATATAGTCCGGTATTTTTTTTTCCATAATAAAGTATGTTACATAAGCTTTAATAAAGATATATATAAAAATATCAGTATTTCCGAAACAATTTCAAAAGTTGTCATTTTTAATCCCTCCTTGTGGTCAGGTAAAAGGTCAAATTTCTAAAAAAAACATACAAAATAATAGGTAAATACCTAATGTATATCTATAAAAAAAAATTATATTGATTTTATAATTTAAAAAAAAGTTATAGCAGTAAATATAAAGTAAAAAAATTGAAAAAATTTTAAAAATTAGCGATTTAGAAAGATAAAATTTGCATATGTTGAATAATACCTTATTGAATAAAAATTTATTTATGTGATAAAAAAGAAAAATTAACACTTACAATTAACCTAAACGATAAAATATCATTGAAAAGTCAATCTTAAATTACTATATTTTAACATACCTTAAGAGATGTAAGAATGATCAGCAAAATAAATTCTAAGAAAAAAATTTGTTGTAATTTATATGTTTCTCATATTATGAAGTTAGAAATTAGGGGTTCCTATTTAACAAAATTAAAAAAATTTCATACATTAAAGAATAAAAAAAAAGTATTTGACTACATCACTTTATAGAATATTTTGAACCAAACTATTTTTCTCTATTCAAAAATTAAAAAACTACAAAAGTTTTTGAGAAAATGTGTGTCTTACCTTAAATTCTATATATAAAAGTTAAAAAAACATAAAAAATAGATACTTGTTAACTTAAATTAACTCTAAAAGGTAGTAGAGGCTAACGAAGTGCCAATGGAAGTATGAAAAATGTTAGGGAATTTTAGTATTAAGTAGTTAAAAAAATTTTTTATGAGGTCCAAAGTAGATGTTCACCAACTCTGCCATCAGTTTTTAAGCCATTTACTTTTTTTATAATATTGGATATAAGTACTAAAAAAATACAAAAAAAGGTTCTGTTGTGCAAGTTGTTTGTTGATAGCGTAGTGTTGATAGAAGAAAATAGAGAAAGATTTAACTAAAAGTGGAGGTATAAAGATTAGCCCTCGAAGGAAAAGAATTAATGATCAGTATATAGATTATGGGTTTGACGAAAGAGAACATGTGATTGATAAAACGAGAAAAGTATTGATAATATTTTAGGATACGATAAGGATGGTGAAAAATTTAAGTTTGCAGTATTTAGGATCAGTTGTACAAAATAAGGGTGGTATTAACGAGAATATGAATCATAGGATTAAGTACGGGTAGATAAAAAAAGTGAAGCATGATTTGAGAGATAAGAGAATCACAGTGAGGCTATAATGTAACCTTATGATATTTCTATGATTAAAAATTTAAAGAAACATTATAATACACATTCGTGTAAGTGTTTAGCGCTGATGATAATATTATTTCCAAAATACATATACGCGATTTTTTAGTAATTTTTGTGGCTTTTTTAATAAAATATTTTATTTTAAATTAATTTTTCAAATATATTTTTAATTTTAAACATTCTAATTTCTTGGACATAAATTAATTACAAAAAATTTAACTTTAATGATAAATCATTAAGGAAAATATATTTTTTTGATCTGTCTTTAAAAAGTAAATCTATTTATGAAATAAAAGTTTCAGGCTACTAATTATAAATATCTATAAAAAAAGTAATCGATAATTTTATCCTTGATATTTGAGATCAATTGTCCTTCGAGTACCAATAAAATGCAAAAGATACCAAGAGTCGTCTCTTTTATTTGATTAATTCATCACTATTCAGGGAAAACTGCATTCTTTAGTCAAGATCAAACGACAAGATTTTAGCTACAAAATAATAATAATACATTAATATAAATATCAAAACATTTATTTTATATTTAATTACTTATATTAAATAAATGCTGTAGGATATAAGTATATGTGGCAGCTTGTTAGTATTAATTTTCATTAAAGCAAAGATGAGTATAGTAGTTTTACGAAATCCTCGTCTTTTTAGTACATTAACTGTTCTGCCTGAAGGTAGAACGCAACCAAAGCAGCACTACTATCTAATTTATATGTAAAACATACATTTAAACATTATAACACCTATGTATAGGTATTACCAATATATATATACTTGGTTATTTATTTATTTATATCAATCATATGTAAAAATGTTAATGGTATTGAAACATAATATAATTTAATAAGAATGTTCCTGAACCTAAAAACCTTTTACACGAATATTATCATGTCAAATGGCACCAATGCATGGATGCCAACGCATTGTAATATACATATAAAGCATCTATTATAGGCAAAAATAAATTTTTTAATATGTTTATAGACTATACAATATAACACTAATTTTATTAAAAAAAAGACCAACAGATTTCTTTATTTTTCTTATCATAATAATATAATTTTAACTATAATAAAATCTACCGGTGTTGTTTTTAAGGCTCTTATTCTTAAAAAAAGAATCTATTTTTTATTGCATAATAAATTTTGAAGGAAATAAGCTCTATAACACTATAAAAAATAAAACTGTGAACAATAAGCGTGGGACACGACTTTCATTAAAGAAGGTGGTTCCTCAAATAGAAAATACGTAATGTATTTAAATATAATATAATCTATAAATATGTAATGATACATTCGTTGAAATATACACTATGTGTACATTTCCCTATACTTAAGTTTATTCAATGGAGGTTGATCTGAAATGTTTTATAGCATAACATACATGATTCAGCATTTTTATCATGACAACACTAAACAATTACTTGACTTCAAGTGTTGTGTAGGTACTAAAACATTAAAAATAATTAAATTAGTAAATAATGTCAAAAAGTTTGAATGATTATCAGAAATACATGTTTTTAAACTAATAAATCAAAATTATTTCAAAACAATGAATTACACTTTAATAAAAATACAATAATATTACCAAAATAAAAGGCCAGTAATAAAATATCTTACAAAAGTAAAAAAAATATTAAAATAGTTTATCTATGAAATGTTAAAATCAATTTTACAATAAAGTATAATAAAATAAAATAATCAATATAAAATATATGTTTTCCATCGTTTCAATCTTATGATCAAACAAAAAGATTTACAAAAAAAAATATATATATATAATGTATCTTATGATTACGAAAAAGTAATTTTATCTTAAAGCTATATCAATGTATCATTTTTCATGGAAACTAATCGCTTAGAGCATTACAAGTAAAAATAATAGATGTTGGGTACATCAACGATTACATAATTACTATTGTTAAATAACTATCCTCTTAAGCCGTTCTTGCACTGTTACACTTTCTGGTTGATTTTAATGAATGTAACCCAACCCAATCATGGTCGTGAGTGTTTTACTATGAACCTATTATATTAAACAATGATGCGTCATTAAATAATTGTAGTTATGTAAAATAAATAATAATTATTAAAATAATTGATAATTAATTATGTAAAATAAATATTGAATTTCAGTAGCGTATCGAGGATTTAGAACTAAGGACAGCCTTCATTTTATAGTTAGGTATAATAAAATTTTATAATAATACTAAAAATTTGATAACAATTTTCTGTACTGTCACATTTTAAAAATTTAGTAAAGTTACTTTAATTTTATTTCAAACGTTTAAACGAAAAATATTATGTTAGTTGCATTCATTGTTTCACGACATAAA